CCCCCCCCCCCCCCCCCGTCCTCTAGCAGATTTGCTGTCCTGTAACATGCCCACTGTACTCTAGCAGGCCTCGCAGTTGCAGGCGGCCCACGCCTAAGGGAGTCAGTGGGGAGGCCTGGGGGGGGGGGACAGGAGCAGAAGAGATTGTTTCCTGCCTTTTTGGGGTGCAATCATGAAATAAACAGGACAGGTGAGTGGCTCTCTGTCAAAAAGAGGAGGGGGCGCAAAGAAGCGAAGCAATCAGGCTACCTGCAGGCCCCCCCTGGCAGGGCGGGGCCACTCACCCCAGAGGCGTAGTCCCCGGTGATCTGGACCCGCTGGAAGTCGGGCACCGTCTGGTAGGTGGGGGAGGACGAGATGTATTCGTGGATGTGGAACATCTGGGCCGAAGCGGTTTCACTTTGTGGAACGGATAAATTCACAGTCTTGCGCCCGTGGAAGTGCCTTTTTCTGGGTTCGAATTTAAAGAAAGGATTAGTAAGAAGGGCAAAGGGAAAAGCAGAGAGGAAGCAAGCTGGGGTAGGCAGGGGCCCTGGAGGAGGCACCAGGGGCAGAGACGGACAAAACTGCACTGGCCCTTGGCCTTGCGCCAGGCCTCGGGCCTGGAAAGAGATGCCTGGAAGGGCCTGGGAGGGGAGGAGAGGGAGGACCCACAAGCTTTTGTCTTTGCTCTTTTCCTTCCAGACTTACCTGGCCCCTCTGCCAGTTTCCTGCTGTGCCCCACCAGTAGATGCTCATTTTGGGGTTTTGGTAGCCCGGGCACTTACCTGCCAGGGGATGGGTAACTTAGGGTGTTTCACAAGGAAACTTTTTTTTTTTTAAAGATTTAGTTATTTATGCATACAGAGCTGGGATACAGGCCAGAGGTGCAAGGGGGATTCGCCAGAGACAGTGGGGAGCAGAACGGACCGACTGATGAAGTCCACTGCTGAGGGGAGCAGTGGGGTTCAGCTCTGAGGCAGGCATTGAACTCACACTGAGGCGGCTGCGGCCGGCTTGCAGTGCTGCGTCCTGACCCGTTGCGCCACCAGGGAGGGCCCAAGGACACTTTTAAACTACTAATCTTCTCCTTCTCCCTGCCACACAACGATTACATTCAAGTTCCTTCTCACTGAAGGTCTTAGCACGGGAGGGTGTTTTGTCTTGATGCGGGGGATGATGGAGCATAAGCCACCTGTGAGTTGGCGGCCTGAGGGGAGCCTTCCCAGGACACTGGCTACTCTGCGCACATGTGGTTTCTGCTTCTCTGCTGTTGGTGTTTCAGGGGTGTGTGGATTTGCTTCTGATCCTAAAGCTTAGGGAAAGTGGCTTTGCCCCGGTGGAAACTGTGTATGTGTGCCGTGTGTTTCTAGTCGTTAGTCCAGAGGTTTAATTTACGGAATGCTGCCTGGTGGCATCAAACAGTTTTGCTCAAAAAACACTGGTTACTACTGGGCCACCCCTGGGGGTGGAGCCTCTCCTGACCCGCCGGCCGCTCCCCTCAGCAATGTACTTAATCAGCCTGTTCTGCTCCTCACTCTGTCCCTAGTGAATCTTCTCACCGCCCCTGCTCTTCTGGCCTGTACCCCAGTTCTGTATGCATAAACAAATAAATTAAAAAAAAAAACAACAAAACACTGGTTACTGACACTACATGAGCCAGGACAAACATGGCGGCTGCCCCACAGCGCAGTCTGGGTTCTCGTGGCGGCTTCTCTGGGGCTAAGCAGCTTTATCAGCAGATGGTCCTCAGCTGGAGTCACATGGCCAGATCAAAGACGGGGTTTGCTTCATGTAAGGCCTGCGTCCCCAAGTGGCGTCTGATGCTGTGGCAGGGCAAGGTGAGGGTATCCCGGGACCCCCAAACCTGCCCGCTGTAAATGGTCCTGCCACCCACCACATCAACACAAACATACTTTAATGTGCAATAAAAATACATTTAATCAACTAGTGTGCAAGTGAGAGAAGGAAAAGAATGTTGTTAAAATAGTTTCCAATGAGGCCCTCCCTGGTGGCGCAACCTCTTCAGCACCAGTTCGAACCTCGCCCCAGAGGTGACCCACAGGGGGCAGCAGACCCCTCCTGACCGGCCCACTGCTCCCCTCAGCAGTGTACTTCATCCATATGCCTGTTCTGCTCCCCACTCTGTCCCTAGTGAATCCTCTCACCGCCCCTGCACCTCTGGCCTGTACCCCAGCTCTGTATGCACAAATAAATAAATCTTTTTTAAAAAGTCCCCAATCCAACACCCCAAGTGACCCATCCCCTCATAGGTAAGTGCCCAATCACACAGGGGTGGCCCAAAGCATGGCCGCTGAGGCCCCAAAGCTGCCACAAGAACAGACCACTTCTGGCACCCTGGGAAAGGGGCAGAGGGTCAGCCAAGTGTGGAAGGAAAGGTGCAAAATCAGAGCACAAGTCCAGATACAGGCTGCCACTGCCAGCCTCCCTGGGCTCCTTGTCTCCCAGGCTCCCCAGCCTCCTGGATTCCCACCTCCTTGGGCTCCCCACCTCCCAGGGCTCCCCGGCCTCCCGCCTCCCCAGCTCCCACCCAGTCTCAGTCTCAAGTGTCTCCTTCCTTGTCCCCCAAGCCCCTGGTTCAAGCCCCAGGCGGAAAAGCCAGCACAGCTTCTTCATAGCTCTCTGGTCCTAGTGCCTCATCCTCTTTCCCATCAATCTCTCTTCTTCCTCCACTTCTCACAGGGCAAGCTGCAACCTCCTTGGGTGGGATAGGAGGGTGCAGCCTCTTTCTAGGGCTATCACAGTTAGAATATCCCAGGGCCAGATACTCAGCAATAGAAAATGATTGTTTCCCCTCTTCATGTCCTGCAAAGATTAGTGCCAGCCATTGTTAACATAAATTCAGTTCTGTGACTGGGCTTTTGTGATTTCTGCAGCTCACAGTTCTAATTAGCAGTTCTAAAGGAGATGAAAGGTTTTGAGCGACTCTGGGCTTTTGCTAACGCCTAGTTCCTGGTCTCTGCCTCAAGGGCTTTTGCAAGCCAACAATGGCACAGTGAAGGCTTGAATTAGCAAACTTATGCCTGGGTACTAAGGTAGAAGCAGCCTTGAGCAATAGCTGATAAATGCTAAAAGTCTTGATAGAATGTTGGAGATACTGGGATTCTGCAAAATCTGCATCAGAAAAAAAATATTAAAGAGCTTTTATTTGGATTGTTTGAAGGAGTTTGCTACTGGGAATTTTGTCTGCACCTTTGGGCATATCTACCCACTGAATTCTTGGAATTGTTTGACTGCTGGTGGAAGAGTGTAAGACTGGTTCCTACTGAGAAAGATCTGACTCCATCGAAAAGCTCTCTATTTGATCAGTCCTCTGAGGGCACCAGAAATGAAGCCCAGAACCTCCAAAGAGGTGGCCGGCCACTGGTCGTGTTTCTGCGTGGGGGCGTTGTACAATGTACAGGTTTTGATACCTGTGTTAATTCTCCCTACTTTGGGGAACGTGAGTTGTAGTTTTTTCTTGTGTTCTTTCAGCTTCTATCCCAGGGTGGCTAACAGAAGTAAGGTGATGACTCCATTTAGAATTCATAGTTCAGTTTAATGTTTTCATTTTGCTTTTTCAGCTGCAGTACAGGACACTCCAAGATCAACTTCTAATGTAAAGGCTTGAACACTGAAAACTGGGAAGGAGGGAAGGAAAGAAGAAAGCCAGTCTCCTTTGTAATTGCTCTAATTGAACTTTTTCTTCCTATATCCTAAGTCTTAGGGTAACAGTTGGAACTGAGGACAGGTTTGGGGGCCCTCCCTGTAACAGAGGCCATCGGTGATGAAGGCCACCAGCAATGCTCCACATTTTTTTATGTTGGATTTTTATTCCATGAAACGAATTTGGGCTTGATTTTTTTCCTGAGCCTATGAGAAATACTTCAGTTGTAGAAGACATTCCCATGTGGGTTACATAAGGAAGACAAGGGTCCCTGTTTGTATGTTGTATGTCTTCCCCTCTGTGTCTAGTCTTGGCTTCTGTTTATTGTGAAATTAGTATAGGTGGTGCCTAGAGATGTTTTGAGTTAGGAGATGTAATGGGAACTGATATGAATACTTCTAGTAAATACGATCTGGGATCATTTTTGGTTAAAGGAAATTAACCTGTAATTCAATAGGTTGCTTTGAAACATGTGCCTTGAAGTTTATATGGACTGTAATTTTTTTCTCTTTTATCTGGATTATTGATGTGGATGCACAATCTCTTTTAAATGTCATTAAGAATGGAGCTTGAAAAATGTGGGTTTCTTTTTTTTTTTTTTT